CCTCCGATCAGACCTTTGGGCATCTCGGTGATTTGATTCACGGCCAGGACGGCCGGTGGATGTTTCGCTCAAGTCGTAGTGTCTTGGCAGGAACTGCTGTCTTCTGGACATCGTGGGCACGTGACGCGTGATGCATAAACGCTTGTTGTTTTCAGCTCTAGGGTTTCTTCCTTTGATTCTGCATTTCTCCTTCATCGCTCTTGGCCAAGATGAATTGCATGCCCACATGTTGAGTGCTGCACTCCGTCGTGGATCGCATGATTGAAAAATAAGTTCAGAAGATGCCTCAGCCAGCCTCTCGTGTTGCTTCTGCATTGCAACTTCATGTGATTGTGCATTGCATCGGTGTGATCCTTTTGCCAGGTTAAATGATAGCATGCCGGTCATTGCTCGTAGCCCCTTTGATGTAGATGCAGATGGTTTCCATTTTCAGTCATTGGATGAGCTGGCTGTACGCTTGTATCAAGTTCTTGACTGCATCCCCCGTCGAGTCTGGATGAATTACAGTCGCAAGAAGGTGCGATCTACAGAACAGACACATGCAGACCAGATCTTGCTTGGCTTATATTCAGGAGTGCAGTCACGAGGACGGCTGCAATTTACAAAGAACACATTCCGATTTCCTGGACTTACAAAATTGGTCCTTCGGACGTTACATTGCTCCCCAATTCTCAGGTCTGGCAGTTACAAGTATTCAGATCAATCGTAATGTTCGCACTACTCCACATCGAGATTCTAACAACTATGGCCCAAGCCTTGGATGGGCTATTGGAGACTGGACAGGTGGAGAATTATTTGTGATGGACGATCGAGGTCGCACCACATATATTGTTGAAGATTCCAATTGCTCCATTGCGTCCTGTGGTGATCAGATACAAGGAAGGCTTCTGGATGTCAGACAACCTTGTTGCTTCGATGGGAATGTGGTTCATGCTACTATGCCCTTTGCCGGAAACCGCATTATGATGGTCTTCTTCTGTGTCAAACAGCATGTTCCCGTTTCACCTCAGGCGTCATGTCTTTCCTTCGCCCGTTTCCTCGGTCTTCGTGTCCCCGTTCTTTCCTCCCCTCCTTTGTCTTCTCCTTCTTGTGTCTCTCCCCCCTCTTCCCCTCTCCTTTCCTTGCCTGTGTCGCCTTTCTTTCCGTCTTGTTGTTCTTCCTCGTCTTGTCCGTCCTCTTCTTCTTCTTCGCGCGCTTCTCCTCGTCCGTCCGCTCGCCCCGCGTTGTCCTCTCCTCTTTCTCCCGCGTCTTCTGTTGCTTCCCTTGCCTCTTCGTCTCCCTCCTCTTGTTTCTTCCCTCCTTCTCCTTTTTCTTCTTGTTCTTCTTTTTCCTGTTCCTGGTCTCGTTCCTCTTCCCCTTTGTCTTCTCGCTCTTTTGTTTGGTCTCCCTTTGATCCTGCTGTCGACGATGTGGATGATGCTTATTCCAGCGACATGTCATGGGAGGCGTAAAAAGACCCTCTTTCGATTGTGCTTCATGCGCTTGCACAGTTTGTCATGAGCTGCACTTTCAACCTGTCCTGATGCATGTGCTCGCAATGGTATTGGTAACCACTAAGTGCAGCATGCCACGCGGCATGTTTGTTGATGTTTGGAAGGAGGACGCACCTCGCCACTGCATTCTCTCCTTTCTCATGGTTTGCAGCAGCGTGCAGGTAAGTACGCAGCAATGTGACAATCCCAGTTATTGTCGGACTCATCAGTTCGCTCAGTGGCAACGATGGCTTACATATGGAATGGGGCGATGCTTCCGAGCCCACAATTTTCATGGAATGTCCAATGATACTGCTACATTCAACTTCACACATCTGCTTCCACGATGCAGTGATGCTTTCTTGCGGATCTCTGTGCAGTGTCGCGCTCAGACCTTGCGACATATCAAATTTCTGATGAGACTGCGAATTTGTCAAGATTCTCGACTGACGCCATTCTGTACATATCAGTTTATGGGCATTGAGACCTGTTGGTGCCAGCTTCATCAAGTCACTTTTTCGGCATGTGAGTTCCCTGATGCAAAGGTCAGAGTTGTATAGTTCAATTTGAGTTCGGAAAGAAGAGGATAAATGCTGACAGAGTGCTGTCATGTGCATGCATGAAGTTGCAAGAGTACTTTTTGTGGCAGATGTTGGTCCAAGCTAGAGTATACGAATACAAGATTGCCAATGTCCGGATCGCTGCTGCACTGCAATGACATAATCAGAAGTCTGGACGGAGAACAAGTCAAGGCTCTTTTTCAGATTCTGGGGGATCAGCGGCAAACAGAAGTGCTTCTGTCACATCTTCGACGTCGGATTCAAGCAGATGCGGATGCCGTTGTTGCGAGACATCTTGGTACGCTTCCTCCTTCTGACCCTCTGTCTTCTTCTCTGCCTTCCTTCTCCTCTCTTCCTGCTTCTCCTCCTCCTCCTCCCTCCTTTCCTCCTCCTCCCCCTGCTTCCTTTCCTGCTCCTGTTTCTTTCCCGTTTCTTCCCTCTTTTTCTTCTTCTAATGTTTCTCATGGAGTTGATCGCAATGAAGCTGAACAGACAATGAATGATGGATCCGATATTTCTCGAGTTGATCCTCACCGACGTGATGCATTACCCCGAGGACGTCAACAGAGTGCAAATGCTGCTCGTCGAAGCAGATCTTTGAGTGATTCGCAAGTCCGTATGAGATCTCGTTCACGATCTCGGTCAAGATCAAGTGCATCTGTTTCACCTGGAGGATCGCGTCACATTAGGTAAGACTGCTGTCCCTGTTTGCTAAAATAGTTGCCGAGCTCTCTTCTGAATTCTCTCTTGGATGCTTGATTTGGTTGCTTGTTCTGTCAGCATGAGAATGTGAAGTATTTTGTGGCTCAATTTGCAAGATGAAACGGACGGCAAGTATGGCGGCCTCACCCGCTCCTCCTCCAATGATCCGAGTTCCAATAGCTGTACCTCCAGATATATGTACTGGAGGACGAGAGTTGAGCTTTTGGATTATGATGCCAGCTGATTCCACTATTGATGACCTGAAGAAGAAGCTGTGTCGGGAACTTGAGGAGTGCGCGGGGATACCTCCTCGTATGAACGCTTTCCAATTATGGCAGTATGGATACCATTTGCCGTTTACTTCATCGATCTCTCGAGTGTCTGCTTTTCCACATGCTGCCCAGCCAGTCCGATTCGTACGAACGTGGCCACACGAATCAGTGAGTTGGACTTGGACTTGAGACTTTCATGCGACAATGAAACAAATGCAGCGTTTTGCCATGTGATCTGATGAGTGTATTGCGAGTGCCTTGCCCATAGATCACTGTAGAGTCTGCTGTCGCATTACACGAGGGATGTGAGCTCGAGCTTTCTTGAAGTCTTAGGTTTGAGTTGAGGTAAGCTTTGCGGTGCCATGTGGGAGCTCTCCATGTTGAATGACAAAATGCTACAGTTCGTCAGCGCAAGACGTCATATCATCTTCTTCTTCACCTTTCCTTCATCTGACCCACTTGAGACTTTGGATGTTACTCTTCGACGACACGGATTCTATGCCATGCAGGATCTTGAGCAATTTGTTACCCAATGCAGAGCAGAAGGTCTGGATTTTCGCGCCGAGGTGTGGGAGTTTTTCATTCAAGGACCATCAGTATATACGCCACTTACTTGTGAAGCTCCAGCGCTACCTCATGTCGTGGTGTATGCGTCCGTATGCAGAGGATGGTATTATTCAGTTATTCGATTGCTTGGCAACCGCTGCTTTATCAATATTCAACAGCTCTGGCGTCTCGCCCAATTACGTCATGCAACGGTGGAGTGGATTCACCATCCAAATGAAGACAGACTACGTATTGGGTCCGCGTTTATTAACGATTTCAATGTGTGCCGCCTTGTTCCGCCATTGTAAAGGTTTGAGCGGAGCTTGACATGCTAATGCGACAAGAGAACAAATGCAGCGCTCTGACATGTGCTCTGAGAGAATGCACTTTACGCCCCCTTGGGGGCCTGTTTGTGTTATCCTGCTGTACATGCGAATTTCTGCATTCACGACGGTTTCTCATGCATTTCATGCATTTCATTTTTCTTTTCTTTCCTTTTCGTTAAATGCAGGGGGCGACGGGGTTGCTCAAGTGGCCGTCGCCAACGAAGCTCCACTTGAAGTGACCAGGAAAACGTACCTGCAAAAGTATCAGCAGCTAGCTTCGTTTTTGTCCGAAACCAGGTTTGTGAGGATTTAGGTTTTTGCAACAGTCTCATTTGCATGTCATTACAGAAACAGCACATCCATGAGAGCTTCTGCACTGGACGATCACGCATTCTATTAACGACTTTATGTCGTCCTCCACATCAAGAAGGTGGGTCAGTGGAAGCCTTTCCAGTTGTGTTATACTGCTGTACATGCGTGAAAGTCTTGCATCCCTTCAATTCCTTCATTTTTCTTGTTTCCTTCGTGGTTTTGATACATCGATTCTCATGCGGGGGGCGACGGGGTCGTTTAAGTGGCCGTCGCCAACGAAGGAAAACGTACGTGCAAAAAGCAGCTGCGCGACCTGTGTGTCTGTGTGCACAGCTGGTGTGCCCCCAGTTGGTGTTGTGTGGAGAGGAGCCAGGTTTTCACAGGTTCGGTTGGCAACTAAATTTTCCTTGCTTTGGCGTGGTTGCCGTATTCTGCATGACTTCATGAGTGATGTGAGAACAGTTTGTCAGTCATGTACATGTTCATGAGGGCATATGCACTGGACAATCATGCCTGAATTAGCGACAATACGTCGCCCTCCACATCAAGTTTGGGTCTCGCTGTTATGCCCCGACATGCATCTTGAAAGTTGTGTAACAGATGTTTGACCTGCGTGTTTCAGTGCCCTTGGTAAGCAGGTCTGAGTTGCAACAACACACATGGATTTTGCATTTTTTCAAGCATGTGCTCCTTCGTCAAAATGTGACCCGGAGCGGAGCGGTTGTTCTACGTGCTGATATGCGCAAGCAAAAAAAGTGAACCAAGTGTGGCAACAGTTGTTTGGAAAGAATGAGGTGTCGCCGTCAAAACATGGCAATTTTGTGTGTAAGGACTGACCATGCTGACCATGCAAGCATCTGGCTCAACTCCGGGTCTCCGCTTGTGGATGACCGCCGGTCCATGACTTGGCTCAGCATCTTCCGCTTGTGCGGCCATGCACTTGCGTAGGGGATCCTCTCGTGTCCCCAGCAAGGCTGGCTCAGCTCGTGCATGTGGTCATGAAGATTTACCTAAGACCGCAGGCGGCTTAGCATCAAGGTTCGGTGGGGACTCATGATTTCTTATCTGAAGCGTCCCGCCCAGACAATGCCGAGGCCTGAATCCAAATCGCGGAAGGAGTGCACGAACCACGGCTGAGGGTTCGCAGTCGTTGTGAGCAAGACTGCATGGCAGGACGATGTGGAAATTGATCTGAACCCAGATGAGTTGATTGAAAGTGTCCGAAAAAAGATTCAGGCCATCGTGCTCTTGTCGCGAAGTTTGTCATGCGACTGATGACTACTGCTTCAGGAGAAGAAAGGCTTGGACTGCTACAAGTGCCTAGCTGAGACGTATTGAAACAACGTGGACAAGCAGGTCAATTCTTGCATTGCCGCGGTGTAATGTTCACTCGCAGGCTGAAGTACCAGGGGAAGAGTCTCAAAGATGACGAGACACTTCGGCAGCACAAGGTGGAAGAAGGCGGGGCAGATGTAGACGATTTCGGTGTTGATCTCGTGGCTGTTCTCTGCTTCTATGCAGGCGAGACGATCTACACAGAGCCCGAGTTCCATGGCCAGTACTTGCCCATGGGAGCCTGATTCCGAGACGTGCAGACCAGCCGACTCGGACGGGGGACCGAATGAGTTTGATGGACTTTGCGAGGTGCAGCCGTCTATGGAGAAAAGGAAAGCCGAGGAGGACCTGACAGCGCCGGAGGATGTTGCTCCCTTTAGTTTGTGATGTGTTTCAGGAGTTGGACAAGGTTGCAGAGCTGGCACCAGAGGCAACTCGTTGGACTGCACTCTCAACGTTTTCTGTGGAGTTCTGTGCGGACATGCAGGTCAAGAAGGCGGCGACTGTCGCAGCGGCCGAGAACATCACTGAAGCCGAGGCATCATGGGTTGCAACGGTATAGCTTCCCAAACAAGATTATGACGTCAGCAGCACTCCTAGCAGAGTGCCAACAGCCACACTTGTACACTTGGAAGCCTTCGGCTGTTTTCTCCTGTGCTGTAGTTGGGTAAGGTCGCATGGTGTGGCATTCGTGCCGGTGCATATGGTGAGAAAGGCATGCGCCGGCAGATGGAGGACACCGGCAGTCTTGTTATGATTGTTGTGCATCTTGCAAGCATAGGACGAAACCGTGATATGCGCGTCGCTGTCTGATCTGCGCCGAACTTGGATCGTTGGCCGTGCATCCACAGCACTGCGCACCTGGCTTGCCGAATTGGCTTTGCAGGGCTTGTGCTCTGTGCAGGGTCCCGCAACTTCCCCAAGAGCGCAATTTCGCGCTTTTCGGGCTGTTCGATGGGCACGGTGGCAAGCAGGCATGTTGTTTCTCGTCTATTTGTCAAAGCCTCTCCGGCATGTGAGCATGCGGGCATGTGAGCTGTTTTCGGCAGGTGGCGGAATTTGTCCGAACTTATCTAGCTCCAGAGCTCGGCCCTCAGAGTGTTTAGGCCGGATGGACTAGCAACACCCGTCACGCTGCTGAAGGCTGGCCAGTGCTTATGCCAATGATGAGCCCAAGCAGGGTTGACGCTCAGTAAAGCCTTGTTGAAGACCACGTTGTCGCACAATGTCTCTCCAGGTCCGATCGCGGACAAAAGGCTCATGAAGGTAACGGAGGTGTGAGCTGCTGATTGGGCAGAACTTGGGCTCCACCGGTGACATGAGGAAGCAGAAAAAATCCAGTATTTTCCCAAAGCAGGCTGTGTTCCAGCGAATGGATGCGCGGATTGCAACAGAGCTTGCAGGCCTTGAATGCAATGATGCAGTTGCAGATCACACTGTTCACTTCACGCTATGTTGGGCAGGTGCTTATGACGGCTGCACGGCAAACGTTGTCCAAGACCTAGGACCTAGGACTTGGACGGGATTGTCCTCGGTAGCCTTTGCAGTCCCTGTCTGGCTTGTTGCTTGAACTACAGGTGTTGGCAAATGCGGAAAAGATGATTTCCATCAACCTTGGCGATAGTTACTCGGCGGCATGACGCAACAAATTCGACAGGCTGTTCTTTGTGATAGCATCGACAGCTCTTCTTGTTTCAGGCATGGCCTATCTGTGTCGTCGCAAGGACGTCGATGACCAGGAGGACTGAAAGCTTGATACTAAGCCACGGCTTTACACCGGAGGCACAAGAAATCACGTCGTGGGGCGGAAGGATGCGCTTTAGGAAGCCAGATGATGTTTGAGGCTTCTTGATTCATGCTTTATGGAACCCTCAGGACACTCTTTGCATTCCGCTGCAGCAGCGGCAGCACAAGCACCGAAGCTGCAGTTGAGAGTCACGGGTGAGAAGCATGAGTTTGTAGTTGAAGGCGTGTGGCACGGATAATTGGTCGGACCGTCACGATGAATGAGGTGCTGGATGATGAAGGAGAAAGAGCGCATCTTGAGGCCCATGCTTCTCGAAAGTGCTGCCTCACCGGATGTGCCTGCAAGTCTCCCAGTGCTGAGGTCCGGCGGAGCTGTGGAGAACGGCCGCATCAACGGCATCCTCGAGGCCTTGGCGAGTGGAGTTCAATGGGCGAGTCCGAGTCTGATTGCTGCGAGGTTTCTCGTGCCTTCGGCGATTTGACGCTGAAGAAGTTCGGAGTGCTGTGTACGTAGGGAGCTTCAAAAGAGATGACGTCGGTGTTTTTTAGAGTTGGGGCTCGACCGAGGCCAGAGTACATGAAGTTCCAGATGGACAGGGAGAAGGACAGAGGGAATTACCGGGAGACTTGAGCCTGGTAGCCTGGCTTGGCTTGCCTGCATCTACACAGGATCGCTTCGTCATCCTGGCTTGCGATGGTATCTCGGCCATGCTTGATGAGCTGACCCGAGGTGTGTAAAGATGTATCCTGCCGATGTCACCCATTGCCTCCAGGTTTTTGGAATGCATGGACAGCTGCAGAAGCGCTGGAGTACACCCACGGCCTCGTGACCAACGAAGAGGGTTGGGAACCAAGCCAAGACGTCTGGCGGGGCTGGGGTCGTATCTCTACAACTTTTTTGGCTTCCAGGTCGTGCCGAGCTCGAAGGAGATGCTATCGATATTCGGGGTGTTTGCAAGGACCGGAACGAAAGCCCATGTTCTTTGCAGCTGCTGCTTTGCAGCACGACTGCAGGAGTTGGTGCAACATGTTATCGAAGAGAGGAAAGCTCAGGCCAGCTGCTCTCAGGTGTTTTGAACTTTCGTGTTCCAACCCCTGAGTTACCCGTGCAGGACAACGTGAGCGTCGTTGTCTTGCATATCATGCCGCAGGCTGGGCCGCGATCACTTCTCCCCTTCTGCGAAGCGCGAAGCGACACGGAAATTTTTGACCTTCCAAGCCGGATTGGCAATCCAACTTGAGCCTCAGCCTCCCTGTGTCAAGGCAGGCTGATCTGCATGCAGCTGGTGCCCCGAGCGCTCGAGGACAAAAAAAAACTTGTGTCGCTCTGCACTTGGATGTAGGAGAGTACAGCTAGACACCTTGGCCTTGGCTGGTTTCATCCGTTGTGCTGCTGTTGATGCGTGACTTGCTCCGGAGGTTTTGCTTATAGGACCCGTTTAGTAGGGCTGTCTTTCTTTCGTGAGGTTCGCCCAGCCCTTGGATCATGTTGGCCTTGGAAAGCTTTGCATGGCTTGCTCCAGTCATCGAATTTACAGGTGTTCTCGTGAACATGGACCGGAAGCGACGCCGTCTTGATAGATGGCTGCTTCTCGCTCCTTGGTGTTTACATAGCCTTGGCGGATCCAGTTGCTCACCTCGTGCACCTTGTCTTCTGAGGCAGCTGCAGCTGTCAGTGCAGATGCCTCGGGCTGCATGGCCGATTGTTAGCATCGCCTTAGCCTGATTTCGGCCCTGTGATGAGGCATTTCCTGCGTTGTCATGCACCAGGTCGTGGTGTTTCTTGACACTTCGCTTTGGTCAATGCAGCCACTGGCGCAGGCTTGCTGCGAGAAGCTTGGCGCTGGTTTCGGCAGATGCGCAGGAAGGGAAGGGAAGTGAAAGTGAAGAGATCGCCTCATGCGTGGCGGCTGCGTGGCCATGTGCAGGACTCGCAGCCCGCCGAGGCAGCGGCCAGCGCGCCGGCCAGCGCGCCGGCCAGCGCGCCGAGCGCCGTCGCCGACGTCTTGGGCCTCTTGGCCTCAATGCCGCTGCGCGGGCACGCGGGGGCTCGCCGTTTTTTCTCTCGGGTCCCCGAGGCACTGTGGAGGCGAGTCTGCAGAGCGTCCGGGAACAAGTGGCCCAAAGCCCAGCAAAGCCCAGCTCCTCAGCTCCTTTCCGGTGTTCTAGTGACTGTCCCTAAAGGCGGCTGGTCATGTGATGCCTAAATACGGTGAGTATGCCCAGTCTGTCCAATCCTGAGAATCCGGCAGAGTCCAGGGATGTTCCGAGTTTTCGATCCGTTTCTGCGCAAAGCTGAGGTCTTGGACTCCGCTGTGAAGCAGGCGGAGTGTTTGTTTGTTTGTTTCGTTGTTTGTGTGTGTCGTCTTCGAGTGGCCTGTTTGTTGACTGAGAGGTTGGCTCTGGTGGTACAGAGATTGGGAGAAGTGTGGATGTCGAGATCTGAGCATTTGGATCCTCTTTTCAGCGCACAAAGACTCGACCTCTTGAATGTTTTGGTTCGAGCAGAACAGCGGCAGCGGGCTAGCTGATTCCCAGGAAGCGCTCAAGATGCGGCGGAGCAGTGTTGTTGTGGGCTTCCTGGTGTGTGGCCTCTGGGCATGCTCGCACCTGTGGGCATGGGTCGCACCGAGCCAGCCGAGTATGGCCGGAAGCGCCAGCTCCGGCGTTCGGCTCCGGCAACTCAGCCGAGTCTCACGAATGGCTCGGGGTGGAGAGGATCTTAGGGCATATGCCCAGACACTGCCCGTGCCTCCAGACTACACGGGGCCACCGTACCAAGGGCCTGCATCAGTGAATGATGCGTTCATTGATCACCTGCTCTCCCTCTACAAGCAACAGGGCAAGCTGCCCATGAAGTATGCATACATGATGGCGCTTGATGTCATGGACATCTTGAAGCAAGAGAAGAGCCTTCAAAGAGTAGGAGTTCCACCAGGCACGAAGATCACAGTGGTCGGTGACCTGCATGGTCAATACTTCGACTTCGTCCACATGATTCAGGAGGTTTCGGGCAAGCCCAGCCCTCAAAATCCAATCCTTTTCAACGGGGACTTCGTGGACAGAGGGCCATGGTCGGTAGAGGTGCTGCTCTGCCTCTATGCCTTTAAGCTCCAACATCCTACAGCGGTCCATTTCAACCGTGGGAACCATGAGTCAGAGATGACGAACTATCAGTACGGCTTTGCCGGTGAGGTGCAGGTGAAGTACGAGAAGAAGCTTATGGAGCTCTTCAGCGAGACTTTCCGTTACCTTCCCTTGGCCCACGTGTTGGAGAACCAGGTCTTCGTGGCGCACGCCGGGCTCCCTGGTCCCGAGGAGCGCTTGTGGGAGGAGTGGATGCAGAAGGCCCCGGACGAGGCCGCGGGGGTCCTGAAGAGGGAGAAGCAGATCACGCTCGCGGAGATCGAGGCCACGAACCGGGTCTGCGAGCCGAATCCCATGGAGTTCCCGCTGGTCATCGACTTCCTTTGGTCGGATCCCAAGGGTGCCAACGGCTACGGGCCCTCCACTCGCGTGCCCATGGTTTACACCTTCGGACCGGATGTGGCCCAAAGGTTCCTTGCTGCTAACAACCTCAAGTACATGCTTCGCTCGCATGAAACGAAATCCGCGGGGTACCAAGAGACGATCCCGAATGTTGTCACAGTCTTCAGTGCGCCAAACTACATTGACCGAGCGGGCAACTTGGCAGCAGTTGCGGTCCTCACCAACCAGGGTGGGAACCTGGAGAAGCAGTTTGTGCAGTTCCAGCATCAGCCACATCCCGACATTGAAAGCGGTGCCTACATGAAGGGCAAGTCCCTGGCACCTGCTTGATCATTCGATTGACGTTCCATCCCATACGTCCGATTTCAATGGACGCAGTGACGCAGTGATCTGAGGTCTGGGTTCTGCTGTAGAGTAGGTCAACCAAATCAGAGACAAGTTTCTCCATAGCTGATTTAAAATTGTGTTTAGTAATCAATGCGTTCCCCGAGTGGTCATCAGACGACCAGTTCGCAAATTTACAAAAGTCACCTCACATGATTGCAATGTAGTAGTTTCGATCAACGATGTGATCCCAGTGATGTGAGAGATGCCATCGACTTGCTTTTGAGTAAGTTTACCTGCATTCAAGGCCATGTTGCAGAACCTTTTCCTGCAGCAGTTGGCATGGCACTTGGAAGCCACCGCAGTCTGGGATAGTCTGGGCAACTTGCTTGCGTCAAGAAGAGCTGCTACACCTGCTGCACTACAGGTGTTGTTGCGGCAGCAAACTGCGGCCAAGTTCCTCAAAGCCTCTCGTGGGCTGCCCAGCCAAGAAGGCGCACATCGAAGGTTTGGGGGCTTTGCTGGTGGGCTCAGGACCGGCTGAGGCTGTTTCCCAAGCAGATCAGCAGTTCGTCTCCCAGGCTGGGCGCAGCGGAGGTATAGACTTTGGGAGAGAAGGAGTTTTGAGAGCGCTTTGGGTGCTTTGGGTCTTCGCAGGCGGAGGAGCTGAAGAGACCGGGGAGTTCTTGGAGCTACAGCGAGGCTTTGACATTTATCGGCATTTAGGTCTGAGCTGCGTTCCGTCGCTGTCGCGGCAGGATCGCTATGCTTTGAGAGCTGTCCTCGAGGGCAGCTTTAGACGAGATGCTGCAGAGCACTCAAACTCAAGTACACGTAAGGCTTTCTAGTGAAAGCAGGCCTGGCTTTCAAAGTGCCGTAGAGCCCCAAGGCTTTCAGAGATGAAGAGATGGAGGCTGCCAGCTTCTCAGAGAGGAATCTTAGTTTGCCCTGACGCAGTACGGGGTCACTGGAGCATCATGGGCTCTGCCAAGGTGAAGTCTCAGCAGAATACTGTTGAGATCATCAGCAGGCCTGAAGAGAAGTAGCTTTGTTCTGTAGAAGGACAGATACACTAGTTGACTGACATGTGCAGGCTGCAGAGTCAGATGGAGAACTTGCAGATGCGATTGCAGCACATGCGTCCGTGCCTGAAAGCCAGTAAGCAGCACCTAAGCCGCAGTCTTTATTTAGTCTTCGCAAGAGACGACTTGGTTTAAGTTTTCAGGGTTGCCAGTTGTGCTGCTTCAGGTGCCGGTCAACCGTGGTTCTTGTCGAGCTCGTACAGGACCGGCGCGGAGGACTGAAGTGCTCTGAAGTCTGAATCCATCCGGGCTCGTGGCAGGATTCCAGGAACGCCAGTAACCATGATCGGTCGCTTTCAGCAGGGTCGTGCGAGCATCGAGTTGAACCTCTCCCCCGACAGGCAGGAACTGCAACCTCTTTCAAGTCGAGTGGGTTGTGACTCACCCGAATTCAGGGACCCCGTGACCGCGGAAGCTGGATTCGTTCGAGGTGCTCATGCCTTGCCCCTCTGGAGATTTGACATCGGCAAAGAAGCCTTCTCAGGAGTTTCTCAGCCCTCTGTGCTCCCTGGCAGGTGTTGGACCCGCCAACCTGGGTGTGAGTGCCAATTTTGGCCTTTGAGGCTTTTGTTCTTCAAGGCTTGTGGCGTGCCCGGCGAGGTAGTCCCAAGAAGTCTCACAATGTCACGGAGCTAAGCTTCGAAGATGTAGACGTGCTTCCGGTGTCGCAAGCCTTTTCTGCAAGGTGTGGTGTCTGTGAGCAAAGAACAGCCCCCCTCTAGCTGCAGCCACAGCCAGCGTCGGTGCCGTCATGTGCTTTGCGTCTCAATGTCGTGATCAACATCTGCCGGCTGCCCACTCTTCGGTTTTGCTCTCAGCGTTTTAGATAGCAGCAGGGTGGAAGACACGCCCCAGTTACAACAGCATGAAGCAACATGGATGGATGGTGCACTGGTGCATGATTCTTCGTGACTCAAGGATCTTGCATCGCGATTCACTTCGAACTGTGGTCGCCATCTCCAAGTTTCCACAAATCCTTCACAAGTTGCGACTTACATTCAGAGATTTCATTCTCCACAGCCCACCCAGTACACGAAACCGTCAGGTCCAGAAGACACTTTAATGACTGCTACCCCTTGACACCCTTGGCATGTCAGAGCCGCCGGCATCTGAAACCCCAGAGGGGCAAGGCAGGGAACTTCTTGTGGCGGTAGCGTAGCAGTAGGACGTGCAGCAGCAGCAACAGCACCAACATCAGCAACAGCACTAACAGCTGCAGGGGCCGCAAGACAGCAACAGCAGCTGTAGCTGAGTGACGGTGGCAGTGTGTTTGTCACCACGCTCACTGCCGGCACTGGTGCCGATGCAAGTTGAAATAGTTGTTCATATTACGCTCGGCAGGTTACCAGTACTTTTGTGCTTGTAGTTATCACAGTCGTTACAATAACCACCAAGTAACTCCGACGGAAACACAGTGGGAGAATGTATCATTAATCTTCCCAAGGTCAACCAGACGATGGAGCTGGGAGCGGGGGCAAGGGAAACAAGAGGACCTGGTCAGCTGCAAGTCTCTGAGATGACGCCACTAACTGATTGCCATAGGAGGCGGAAAGGCTGGGTGAGACAGCTGTGTGCTGCGGAAAGCACCATGGAAGCCTCAAACGTCCATCCTTTGCGAGGCGGTGATAGCGAGAAGCAATACGACCTGGTTTGGTGCCGAGTTTGAAGATCTTAGCTCCGTGTGGAGTCGCCGGCCGTCGCGAGGTGGGAACCATCAGGATGTTCAATGCAGACAAAGGTGGCCTTCTGCAGCCACAAAGGGGCTTTTTGGGCATCCCAAAGTATGTATGGGGCCTTTCAATCTTGCAGCAATGCAGTCATTCCCTCCTCTTTTCCCAGTTGCTTTTGCAGGCTGGGGATTTATAGATGGCGACACTGGGGGCAAAGACATCTTCTTGCACCTCGGCAGGTTTGATGATAGCTTGGTCAAAAAGATAGTTTCGCCTGGTGTGTTGCGGGTTCTGTGTTGCCACTGCTTCGCGCGTCTGTGCTTCTTGCGGTTCCGCATCGACAGGCACGCCAAACATTTTGTGTCAGACCGGCCTGTTGGCAAGGGACGTGCGGTTGCCGTTGCTTTGCTCTCGGACATGCCAGGGGCAAGCCGCCAAATTATTGGATAGGCTGGCACCTCGTATATATCGAGGCTGTCAGGCGGCCGAGCATCAAGTGTTGCCAAGGCCACAAAATGCAAACCAAGGCGCCTTCCAGCATGTGCTGCGCATGCTGTTGTGTGTTGCATTGCAGCAGTTTGTCCAGGATAAGCATGTCGTCTGGACCTCAGCACTTCGCGGTTGCTTCGACCGGCAAAAGATATCCCGGCAGCTTCTGACATGTGCGGAGGCCCCAAAAGTGGCGGAGGGGCCTGTCAGAGTCCTGCCTGTGGTCTCAGAGCAGATGTGGCGAAGGTGTCTCGGAACATCGCAGCCTGACACGACCGCTCAGGTTTGATATGTCCTTGACAAGCCAGGGGAAGCCCCAAGCGTCTTTGCAGCAAAAAGCTTCGATGTACATCCTCCGTGTTAGGGGGCCCCTCCCTCCCCATGTTTTGTCCCAGGCCCTGAACGTGCGGATAACCGGTGGCCACGAGGAGCCGGAGGCTGCCCAACAGCATCCTTCAAGAGACCAGAGACCTGAGAAATTCCACGCAATTCCCCAAATTCCGCTGTGAGGACGAGGACAGCGGAGCCGCCCTGCTTGGCAAAGTGCCGTAGACTTTGGGACACAGAGCGTGCTCATGCGTGCTCGATGTGCCAGGCGAAGACAGGCCGAGGCGTGAGAAGCAAGAAAAGGGGCCCAGCCAGCGTGCAATGGTCCTTCTGTTTCAGGCGGTCGTCGCCGGCTTGTGAGAACTGCGGTTCCACGATTGCGGCCAGGCTGGGTCTTTCCGTGGGCACCTCGGAACCTTTGGACGACCCACACTTGCGTGTCCGTTTGTCCCATCTGAGGTTTGCATCCTTTGTGGCCATCCTGTGCCGAGTCGTGGCCGATAGCGATGAGTGCGGTGTAGGCAAAGGTCAATCTCCTTGACATACCTACAGATCAACAGGGTTCTGGAGGCGAAGTCTGGTTTTCTATTGAAAAAGCTTGGCATAAAACTGTAGATGGCTGGCAGAAGCCTCCACCACTGCTAAAGACATGCGGGCAGCGAGAAAAGAGCGCAGCAGTGCTTTCGGTCGTTTATCGTGTCACGCATTGGGCTTCAGGTCTGTTGTTGCTGGTTAAAGGAAAGAACTTAGGGAGTGGCAATGAAAGGCTTCGCGACATAATGCCATGCGTGCTTCCTTGCATTTCTGGAACACAGCGCGATTTGAGTTGTATGCGTCGCCCAAGTGTGTAGAGACGCACCAAAGCATCCATGCTGGAGTAGCGATTCGCAACAAAGACCGCCGCAGCAGCTAAGACAAGTCCTGCTCCGGCCTCATCGCAGATGGTTATCCTGGTTATCCTCTACCCATCTTTGAATTTGCATGTGCCCAACATGCAGGTAGATTCAACCTGCTAACAGCATTGCTAGCAGAGGGATCCTACAGACTCTGACGGCACACGACTGGTAGTAGTGCCTCGCAGTGCTTCGCCATGAAGTCATCCTTTCCGAGTTTAGACAAGAAGGCACGGGCTTCGGCGCCGGGCCGGGCCGGGCAGTCTTCGGATGTCTTGCTGCTTCCCCGTGGCAGGTGCCGGAGAGCAAAAAGTGCCCACAGAGTGAACGGAGATCGTTTCCAGCTGTTGAGCTTCCCACCCGAGGTATGCGCACATTGGCTCATCTATTGACACTGGAGCTTCAGCCAAGAAGGAAAAGGCACGATTTTTACCTGCTTCAACCAGAGCCTGTTCCGTCTGCTGTTGTACAGATGCCGCCGTTGCACAGATGCCTGCACACACATGCTCTTGGTCTCTTGGCAGCTTCACTCAGCGAACGTCATGGCCAAGCGCAAGGATGAGGCTTGCAGTTGATAGCATCCAAGAGTCGGGAGAGGGTGCAGCTATCTCGTTGGAAGATCTTCAAGCGCATTCGTGCTGGCACGCTGGTGCGAATGCTGCAAGACAGAGAGGCCAGGTTGGGCATAAGACCATGAGGTCCTTGAGTTTGAAGTCCTGGTTTGGAGCGTGCTTGGAGCAGTTTGGGGATACTTCAGCTCAAGATGGTCAACCTGCTCTTGCATCCGTTTGCGCTCTGAAGCGAACAACTAGAACAGCGCGAAGGTCTCGGAGTCCGTCTACGCTCTCGGCCAGGAGCCTTTCGTCTCTTCACTCTCTTCGCTCTTGAGCCTCAGGGATGCTGTGTCCGTGAGGTCCCGGCTCCGAGCATGGGGACCGCGCCAGCGCGTCCTCCGTCATGGCCTCCAAGGCGCCTAGCCAGCCGCTGCAGTGCCGCTGCAGCGACTCAGCGAGAGAGAGGGGCCCGGCCCGACTGCTTCGAGGCCGGGCCTGCGGCTCCACCGATGAGCGTGGCCTCGGTGGGTTCCGTTGCAGGGCCCGGGGTGCCCGGTGTGCTAGGATTACTATTCAAAGTTCAAGCTGTTGATTTGCTAATGATTGCGCTGGCAATCGCTCACTGTTCTCAAGCGGGTCTTTTGAAGTAACTTGGGTCGGTTGAGCATGAAGAGACAGGCAGAGAAGACAGGCCAAGAGAGCCAGCAGTTTCCCCGGTCTTACTCACGTTGATCAGCAATCTTAAACCAGTCAGGGTTGACGAGCCTAACGCATGCTGGTACGTGTGGCGGATGGAGTGGCGAGCAGCTTGCGCCGAGCTGCATTTTGAGAAGTCCGTGCTGAAGCACGCACTCTCCAAACATGTCCACCACTTTGACTACCGGGATGGCATGCGTTCAAAATGTGCAAGTGCGAGGGGACCGAGGCCGTGTCCTGTGCAGGTTCGGAAAAGTCCGCCGCGCCCTCGAATGATGGAAGATGCTGTTCGGGACATCTACGAGGAGCCTCCAGCTCGACCTGCCAGGCGATGGCCCGGGCCGGTGCTGCTGGCCTTGGAGAGACGGCCCAGCATCAAAGCCGAGCGGCCATGCTCTCGATGTTTTCGCAACTTTCAACGGTTCATGGAGAAGCATGTCGTCGTCGACAGTCCCGCCCTTGAGGATGTTCACAGCCATGACTGGGCTTTGGAAGATGTTGCAATGAATCAAAAGCCGTCCGAATCTCCCAGGAACAAAGAGACGAGCCCGCCTCCAGTTCAGACCTTCACTGGACACGACTCTCAAGAAGAGGCTTGGACGAGGTGGCAGTTTCTGCAGCACATGCCAGACTACTTGGCTCTGATGCTCGAGCAGAAGGAATATCGCGACTTCGTGAGCAAAGCGCACCAGTCGCAACTCCTGAGTGCTCGACGCCAGGTCATGGCCTCTGACCTCGCCATTCTGCTCCGTGTGCTCCCGATGTTCAATGATGATCCCGGTGACAGCAGCGACATTGCGGAGGAGCTTGCTCATGTACTAGGCAATGAGGGCCAGGGTCGAAGTCAGAGGCGGGCGCGTACGACGAATCTCCCGACGGTGCAGAGGAGGGCCAGCAAGCTAGCATCCTTGCCAACTTCTACAGCAGCGGGTTTGGGCGAGTCGCTGGCTATGCGCAGAGCAAGTGTGGAGAACATGACGGATAACATCGTGGAAGCCATTCGCCAAGCCAGTGGGAAAGCCAAAGGGGGACGGACAGCAAACAAAGGGCCAGGGCGGCCGAGCAATAAGGGCAGGAGGCAATCACTGGGCCAAGAGCGCCCGAGGCATTCAACTGCACAGTCCAACCTCTTTGAAGCGCGCAGAAACAGCTCTGCACTGGGCTTCGAGCCCCCGGGCGATGAGAACCGCGACTCCCCCGAATCCTTTGAGGCGGTTTCCTTGGAGACCCTCCTTGATGTTGTTCCTGCGGCGACCAAGATGAGATGGGGCGACATACTCAATGTCGCAGACGCAGATCTTGAAATCTCCAAGCCTCGCTTTATATCGAAGCTGGCTCATGCCATACGGCAGAAACCGCAGTGGTTCATCTTGCGCGAGTCAATCGGTGAGACGTCGGCAGAGCTTGTGGAGCCACAGCCTTTGGACTCCCCATTGCCACCCTCCGCAGAGGACGTGCCTCACAGTTGTCACTGTTGGCTCGGGTCACTCATGGTCCTACATCGGCTTCCAGAAATCGCAGAGAAGCTCTCCGAGACCTGGCAGTTTCAGATCTCCACGGAGCGACTCCAACACGTCGCCAGCTCCATGGAGCGAGCCGAAAGTTTGGCTCTCTGCGGCGGCTTCGCGCTCACCTTAGACGTGTCGCGCCCTCAGGGCAGACTGACGTCCGAAAAATCTGGTCGCTTGACCCTCGTCGCGATATTTAAAGTTGAAGATTTTTAGGGTTTAGGGTTTACACCGCATGAATGCTGGACTGCAAGCCCCCAGTCCACCACAAATCTACACGCAGGGCTTATCAGATCCGCCTGTAGTCACTTCAAGAAAAGAAGGTGCTATGACATGCACCAACACCCCGTTCTACTTATCAATGAGCCCCTATATGACCCCCTCCGCACACCGTATTCCGTAGTACCTGAGTACGAATCCCTGTTGCTTTGCTGTCATGTCTTTCGCATTGCCGAGGTGCAGGGCTCGGGCCACAGATCTCCTGTCGCCGCTGCGGCCTTTGCCGGGCTCGGAGGCGGCCAAAAGACGGGGGTTCGGCGCTTCGGCCCAAGGCCCAAACGGGGCCCCGCCTCATCCAAGCGTGTCCCGGGCTTTGGCAGGCTCTCTCGCCAGCGTGGCTCAAGCGAGTCTTCGAAACCAAGGACGAAGAGGCCGACGGCACTCAGCCGAGTTTGCCGTTCAGACATGCACATGGGGCCTGAACAGGCATGAGGATGACAAGATATGATGCAGTTCATATGGCTGCCAAGTCTGGTTTCTTGAGTTTCATGATGTTGAAGTCTTCGAGCATCCGAAGCTCGCCCACCCTAAACTGCGAGCATATTATCACAGGTATGGCTGGGTTTCCAATAGCATGCACATTTTGATTAGATTCTGCTTGTTATAGGGGTTTCATGCATCCGAACTACATGCACATGCAGACAGAAGATCCACAAACAGGCACGGATTTGTGCTTGCCCGCAGTATGTTCGATCGGTTTGTGCTGCTCATGCATCCAAAACTCTCCGTGCCAGGAATGTGCATAAACACGGCCTAGATTCTTAGATTTGGGACATGTAACCCCTCGCAAACTCGGTCGAAGTTGTATCGGCATGACATGCACATGCTGAAAGCCTATGATGACATACTGGACTCGTACTGACACCCTGAGCAAGGATTCTCACGTTTTGCGTTTGGACGTGTCCATGTTGGCTTCTGTGTTGATTTTGTGTTGTGCCTTCGTGCCTCGAGGCGAATCCGAACGAGCTAGGGGATGACCTGCGGCTCCTTGCACAGTGCCTCGCGCTCCAAGCCGCCGGCGCGAACTTTGAGCAGGACCTGGCGCGTGCCATTCTGGAGTTTAGAGAGTCTAGAGACAGGGTGGCAAGATGTTGGGATCCAGCATTGTGGGCAGCCCACGAAGAAGTCCGCAGGCGGACGAGGTTACCGGTGTGTTCGCACGGGGCCGGTTCAAGCACCGGCATGTGCAATAGAATCCACCTCCAGCCTCAGCATATCGTGTCGGCTTTTCTACGACTCATCTGTATCCTGTGGGACAGCTGCAGGCTTGCAGGTTTCATGTTTGGGGTTTGAGGAGTTTTGCGGCTTTAGAGATCTAGGAATTTAGGGTTTATGGTGTTCAGTGTGTCAGCTCCTTCCCTCGGTGCAGAGGGGGCAGAACGCTGTCTGGACAACGTCGTTTAGAACTCTTCAACGAGGCCAGGAAGTCCAATGCCAGCAGTGACCGAATCTGTCCTTCGCCGTTGCGTCCAGGACATCGACAGCCCAGTGCTGGAGTTCAGCCAAAAAGCCTGGCGGCACTTCTGCAGGCTGGGCTGGTGCTCAGCGGACGCATCAGGTGTTGAATGTCTTTGTGAGGACCTATCTCGGCGAGCAGGCAGGCGGTTCGGAAGCTTGGCGGTTCACCGACTGCAGAGTCGGCAATGGAGGGTAAAGTCGAGTTGCTAAGGATGCAGCAGCTTTTGCCGAAGCAATGGATCACCTCATTCCAGAGACTTCCCTCAAGCATGGTGAGGCAGCTTGGCAGTCAACGGCCAGAGGCCAGAGCTCTCACCGGCCCCTGCTCGGAAGCAGGTTTTCTATCGGCCCATGCTCGGAGCGTTGACTTTGGAGTTGCTACTTCAGAAGGAGGCCAGAGCTGGGCCGCGGGGGGGTGGCGGGGGGGCTGAGTCTACGCCTGCATGGCCGAGCTTTTGCCTCAGCCGGCAGGTGGCCCACCGGGTGCGCTCCAACACCGGGAAGGCCATCCATGGATCACGGATCCACGCTCAAGTTTGCCTTTTGAGCCTTTACGCAAGCGGCGCTGGAGGTGGAGAACTCGGACCTCCACTGGAGGGTCGAAATCATCGAATCTAGCATGCAGGAGCCCTGATAGCACTCTCGTGTGTGACAGCTGCTATCAGCTGCTGAAGCATGAAATGCAGGACTACCTTCCGGAACTCATGTGGCAGGTGGGGAACACAGGTTCAGAACCCTACATGTTGCTCAGTGCCGGATGCAACCCGACATCTCTTGCATTCGCCGTAGATTCGAGAGCTGCGAGCTTGTGTCAAAGCTCTGCAGGTGATGGGCTGGAATACACCAGCCGGGCGAAGAGTGTTGAGAAGGCCAGTGGCTGAAACAGTCTGGGCATGATGCGCAAGATGACAGGAGTAATCTGTACATGTACGACCCTGCTTATCGGTCAACCGTGTTGCAGGTGGCACTTGTATTAGTGTTTTGTGTTGATGCGGAGTCCGGGGCAGTGGCTCCATCTCGCGGGCCACTGCCAGCAAGGATGTTGTTGTTTGGAGAGGGTGCCGAACGCGAACGTTCTAACGTGCCAAGCAGGATAAATTTTGGCTAGGCAGCGGGATCCGATTCAGTTATTCTTGTGCTGTGCATAGGCTGCTGGGCGGAGTCAAAAAGGTTTGGACCCAGACTTTGTCAGGTGCAGCTTCGCTTTCTTTCAACTGACTGCAGAGACGAAGAACGAGATGACTCGAAAGGGCTTTCTCCGACTGTGCCATGAAGCAGGCACTTGCAACCATGTCAGGTGCTGAACACTCGTGCATTGATGTGATGAACTGAAGGGTGGGATTCCAAATTCCGGAGCAGATCGGTCAAAGCCCCAGCTTACACACATATCTTCTTATCTGACTCCCGACAGAAGCTGTGGTTGCATTGGTGAGGCCAGCGATGCTTTCTTCGGGAGCATTTTCGATGATGCTGTATTCGGCATCAGTGCAGATTTGCACCTCCCCCGCACGCTGCGTTTTTTCGCGGGGTCCAGTTCGCAGAGTTGCACCTCTGCCGGGCTTGCAGAGATTTCCACCATACTGATCTCATAAAAGCTCCTTCCCGCGGTCGTCATGTTGATCTTAGGCTGAACTTCCTGCAGATTCTGAAGATGACGGCTGAGCTCATTGTTCTTCCTGATCGAGGCGCCTTGGGACAGAGTACGAGTAGAGAGCAGTCAGTGAAGAAGCTATGCACTGGCCTGGCACCGACCGTGCACGGATACTCGCCAGGCTGCTGTGGAATCTTCGCAGCGCTCCTCGTTTGAGTTGGAATATAGGTCCGGAATGGTAGCAGGAATTTGTCGACGGCGCGAAGCCGCCCAAGGCTGGAGGGCGTTGCGGACGACTTGACCGAAGTGCTCCGGACGATGGAGCCATTGGGTGTGCCGACCGCAGAGATAGCAGCTGGGACTGCGGAACTGCGGAATCGCGGGATGTTCTCTTTCAGGTAACCGCGCAAGCACAGCGCCAGCTGTGAAGCACATTCAGGCGTCCCGGCATGAGGCCATAACAACGGCTTCGTAAACCTGTTCCTTGTCCCTTGCAGGCTCGCGAGCGGAGGTTGATATCAACCCGATAAGCCAGCAGCGGCAGCGACTGCGCTGTTTTCAGTCCTCTGCCTTTGAAGCCGCCAAGCCGACCCAAAGTACGTCGAGGTCAGGCCTTGAAAACCCGAAGCTCCAAAGACAGAGGCATGTGGCCTCATGGCCAGTGCTAACGAGCTGATGCAGGGCGTGTGCCATCCTAGACGGAGCGCAGCTCTTGGGCAGCCACAGTCACACTCTTGCGAAAGCTACTCCACCAAAGGTGGGTGACACATGTTAACGCACACGGCATGGGATCTCCCACAAGGGGAGTACAGTGTCTTGATGCAGGCAGTAGTGTTCGAAAAGAGAGTGTCCTGGTGGAGTGCTGTTGAAAGCAGAACATGGCCTGAGACCTTGAGCACCAGTGTTTGCTGCACGTTACGTCCAACTGGTGAGGTCTGTAGTCAGTGTCGTTGAGACGGACACCACCGTCTCTGAGGTGAGGCCATGTTTTGCTGAAGGGACTCGGCAAGGGTTTCTGCGTGCGAGGCGCGGGACCTCGTTTTGCTGGATGTACGAGAGGGAGATGAGCTGGAGCCCTGGGTGCTAGGACCGCGCAGTCTTCAAGCCTGCAGATCGACCGTGCAAGGTTCGACCAGTGCCACCTCCCCTTGGCGGTGTCCTACCCCGCGCCCAAGATCAACAGGGACAGTCGGGAGGGCAGGCAGCACACCAGCCTTTCGGAATAAGCAGCGAGTCATCTCCGAAACCAGAGGCATCTTTGCAATGCTTGGGAGCCGTGCTTCAGATATTCTCTCGATGTTGTGTGTTGAGCACCCCGAGTGGCAAGCACCATCATTGCCTCCAGCTGATCCACCACATTTTGTAAAACGCTCTCGACCCCCGGACACGGCGTTGGGTGAAGGACAAGGTCCAAAACTCTTGCGTACACGATCATGATTACGATGTGACATGATAGTGGGTTGACATGATTGGCAGACGACGTTTGACGTGCATAAATTGAGCTACGCATTGACTCTGTCTGGAGGACCAGTTCATTCCTGAACTGCTGCGTTGCAAACGTGACCCTGGAAAGTTGCTGGCAGCTTGCTCGAACATTTTCGTCGTCTCGTCATCCTTGTGGGACTGTAAGATCTGCAGGTGGTATATGGGGCAAACGAGCAAGCCACCATTGGAGTGGCAAAGCTCCTTGTAGAAAAGGCCGGTACGCGTCTGTCGTTCTGCTACACAGCGAAATGCTCCTGCATAGATGCCTTCGAGTGGCAGCTGCTCCGATTGAAAGACGGTTGATTGAAGTTGCTCCAGAAGTTGACGTGTGTCGGAAGGGATGGGAAAATGTTCATGCACTCAGCGGTGGTTCGGGCCTCAATGTGTCACAGGCTGTTGCAACCTCCATAGTTTGTCTCGTGCTGCAAGGCTTCGAGGAGATGATTCAAAGCTACCCGGAGGTTCTGGAAGGACAGTCCCTAAGCATTTGCAGACGCAGAAAGCTCTGCCAGCAACAACGTGTTTCCTCCTTCGCAAGCGCATTGGTTGAGGTACGGTGCCCGATAGGCCACTGACAACCAGCACCACCCGATCTGCGTGGAGCGCTCAAGCATTGAAAGTTGTTGCATGGAAGGGCCCAAGTCTTTTTTGGGGCCTTTCGCAAGACGGTTGCAACACTCTTAGGCCGCGGAGGTGAAGCCCACGCCGGCGCAGTCGCGCAGTGCTGCACGCTCCGGGTTTTGCACGCTTCTGTCAAGCCTTTCAGTGTCGCTGACAGTGTCGCTGATAGGTGGTTGACAGGCGTTCGTCTCACCGTAGCTCTGTAGTTCGTTCGAAAGTCTAATTCGTTGGATGCATTGCAGAAATTTTGCTGTGAGTCAAGGTAGCAGTTGCTTGTCGATGGGCAAGCGCCTCTAGACGGAACCGCCGGAAGCTGATATTGGCCGGAGCATGACCGCTGTAGATGAACATAACATACTTGGTCAGCATGTTGACTGTTATCTTATCGGGCATGGGAGGTCGGAGCACTAGAACCCAGAACAAAGTTCGCTCTGATTCGGTTCACAGCAAGTTAGGCTACTTTCGGCATACAGTCATCCCGATCTGGTCTCCAGACATCATTTCGCTCCGTGATGGCATCGGAAAGGTGACGGTCTTTCAAGCTGAAGTTATGCCTTTGCTGTACGTCGTCTGTGTAGCTGGCAGAGGCCTTCATGGAGGAAGTGGCGGATGCCTCCATCGAGGCTCCTGGCAGTTCTTTTTGCTTGGAAAGCAGTTTGCTTGCAGTGGGACATGTCCGGTTTGTTTGACGAGATGCTTGTGCTTCGTCCCGCATGCTGGGTGCAGCCATTTGAAGCATCAGGCTAGGAAAGCGCCAGGAAAAGAGTCTTCTGCGACTATCGCAATCGCACAGACAGCATGCGGCCTGCCACCGCCCGAGGTGCCGGCGCCGGCCGTCGCGCCAGTTCTCCCCAGGTTGACCCAGCTATGGCGGCCCGACTCAAAGACCTCGAGGCTGCACGCAAGGACGACGAGCGCCAGAAGAAGCTCGCGGAGAGGAAGCGTGCTCAGGAGCTGCGAGAGGCCAAGAAGAAGCTCGCACGGGAGTTGCAGGGAGCCCAGCGGATGCTGACCCGAAGTGAGCAGGAGGTGAACAAGCTGACGGGCCAGTTGAGCCGCACGGAGCAGCAGGCAGCGCAGGCTACAGTGAAGAAGAACCGTGAGGGCGAAAAGGCCGAGGAAGGCATCGGACGCATCAGGCAGAAGCACGGGAAAGTGGGCAACGTCTTGCGGGAGAAGATGGCCAACGTTGGACAAGCCCGTGGACGCTTGGCCCATGTCCAATTTGCTATGGCCATGCTGGAGCGAGGAGTGATTGTAGCGGTTGGGGAGGACGGAGGCCCTGTGCAATCACCAGACAACACCATGCTCAACCCACAGCAGCAGCGTCGCGTTCGGGCAGTGAGACGTTCGTCCGATGAAGAGGGGAACCCCGAGACAGACGAGACAGGAGAAGGTGAGGAGCAAGAGACAGAGGAAGATTATGATGATGGAAGTGCAGGTTTGCGTGAGGAGCTTGAGCAATTGAAGGAAGAGAACCAGAAGCTTCGAGAACACTTGGCCGATGCTGACAAAAGATGCACGACGGCAGTCCAACTGCTGCAGCAGGCGCAAGAAGTTCTGGAGACCAGGATGGATGACATGTCGACCATTGACTTCAAGATACATGTGGAGAGGGAGAAGGAAGTCAAGGAAGCTCCCGACTTCGAGAATGCCTCCACAATGCAAGGCAGTCAGGATGGCAGCACGCAGCATTCACCCATGGCACAGCCAGACGTGGCAGCCCCCGCACCAGCGCCGGCTGGGCCCTTCGCAGCATACCCGAGCCTTTTGGGCCAGGCACCTCCCGGTGTGAAGCGAATCCCCGTCTACGCCGGCACGTTGTCTCCTCCTCCGAACCGCATGGTAGCTTGGCCGCCAGAGTTTTTTCAGAAGTTCCGTGTTGCGGTGGTATAATAGTGTGCCGAAGCGACGCGACTGGGCCAGGTAAGCTGCCCCCTGAACGTCCGATACCAGCCTGCGCAGCTTCCTCGACAGGCATTGGTAGCAAGCACCAGAGCTGACGTGTGTTGTTGCCGCAGACAGACGAGATAGCAGGACGCCACACTGCCGCTGGGTGCGACTCTTCTTGAGCCCTGCTTGCAAGCAGCTTTCGGGTTCTCCTGCTAGTACCTTCCTGGCACTTTTGTCTTACGTTTGACCGCCTGCTCAGGGATCTCCCAGTGCAACCTCCCTCAATCGTGGTGTCGCCAGCATGACTATTCCGTCAGCACAGGGAGCCCGGATGTTCCCAGCTGCTCGTCTGAAAAGTTAGCTCGGCTATGCGGCACTGAGCATGTACTAGCAAGTCTTTAGGCTGAGCCAGTGGCGGTTCCTGCCTTCAAGCCAGTGGCTCCTGCCTGAGCCGTGCTATTACACGAGAACTCTGCAGACTCTGCATGAACCGCCTCGTCTGCGCGAGGCTGAACCGATTTCTGTACCGATGAGGCCTTTCGTTTCTGGGGAAGGTGTCAGGCAAGGTCAGGGGCTCCGCCGCAGAGCACGGGCTATTCATGTTGCATCTCTGATCTCCCATGGCAGGTGATTAGATGGCCGTGAGTTATGCACCCTCTCTCTGGGGAGCCAATGTGAGGGAGGCTAGGCAAACGCTGAGTGTCTCTCACAGTTTCAACTGTGCGATCCTTTTTGTTCACACTGATGTGAGAGGGAAGCCCAGGTGCAGGAAGAAAAGTTGGCAATCACAACCTCGATTCAGAAGCCGTTTCGCGGGGTCATCAAAATGGGCTACAGTGTCTCTCCACAGCAGGCGCCTCACGTACAAATCGTGGGTGCAAACTTTTCGAGAAATTCGTCGCGACCCTTAAATGGGCTTGTCTGCAGTCCATGCACGGCCGTCGAGGCCATACGAATCAGTGAGTGCTGAGAGTGCGGATTAGCTTTTCTTACACTGGCCAAGGATAGCGGTGCACGGATGAGGAAGGAGCCCAGTCGCCTCGGCAATGCCCAAGGCAATGCCGAGGGGCACCAACATCAGGGAAGCAAGGTGTGTAGATAATGCCAGGAGCCCTCTATGATTGAAGCCTTGCTAGATCTCACCCAGGATTTTGGTGCCTTTGCTCCCGTCAAGGGGCTAGTTTGCCTGCTGATGGGCTCGATCAAGACCTTGAGTGAAGCTGTGATTCAGGTCAGCTGACACCTGAAGCGCAACGCAAGCTCATGCCGCCAAAGATGCCGAGTTTTCTCCTGGTAGGGAATCGATGGGTCAGCCCAGTAAGTCTTGGAAACTGTGAGGAGACGTTCTGTTGCCTCCGCTGCTGCAGTGGGAGTCGGAATTGCCGGACTCAGCGCCCTCCTCGCTCTGTTGATGAGAGCGTCAGAAGTCAGAAGTGCCTTTTTCCAGGTGCCTCCCTCGGGAGCCAAGGCCAGGGACCTAGGGACTGCGAAGTGGATTCCTCTGCGGCCTTGTGAGAGAGGCTTTGTCGGTCTGTCTCGGTGTGACACACTGCGGCTCTCCAGACCGATTTTGGGCCAAGGCGAAGTGAAGTTTTGCCTCTCGTGCCAAGGGGCCGAGACAGAATTTGCAGTCGCCCTTCAGGCAGCGAGCAACTCACGCGCCAGGAGCAGGGTGGACTGCCTAGGGCTCGGTGGAGCGAGAAGACAGAAATGCAGGGTCAGTGATCCGACAGTTCCAGAGAGTCGAGGCCTGTTCTCGTCGCAGCTGCGGCAGGCAAGCACAGTTTTTTGTCCTTCACCTTTCCATGTGTCTTGTACCGACTGAAGGCACCGCTGGTAGAAATCTTCTATGTGAACAGGTGCAGCAGCTGGTGCTGTGGCCTCTCGCGGGCCGCGCCGGGAGACACGAGGTTGGTTGTTTCCTGTCAGCTGCTTGTTCTGTTGTGCGGATGTCTGGTCCAGGCCTCCCTGGCACTCAGCAGAGGCTCCGCATGTTGCTCGAGTACTGCTTCTGAGCTTGAAGCCCTGGCCAGGGCTTCCCTGCAACCGGTGGAGGCACGCCAGGGGGTGGCGTGTCATCCTGTGGTTGTTCGCTTCCAGAAAGGTGCAGGAAGACGAGGCCCTGGAGCTGGAAAGAGAATTGGCAGAGTGGGGACAGCCCCCCAGCATCGCAGCTTTCCTCAAGCACACAACGTGCGAAAATGTGCTGTTCCATGCATCACACTGTTACTGTTCCAAGGCGAGGATGAGGACTACGAAGAGGAGGTGGAGGAGTTGGAAGGCCCACCGCCGCAAGAACAGACATCGTTCCGTGGACTCTGCACTTCGGTCCTCACCGTTGAGGTAGAGATGCGGAGCGGCGAGGCTCCTCCTTGGCCTTGGCTGCCTTAGCTGTCGGGTGTGCTTGTCTCAATCTCACTTCGGAAGAGGCTCCGGTGGCAAAGAAACCAGCGACGCTCGTCTCATTTCGGATGCGGGCAAAGTGTAGGGAACTGTTATTCAGTTTGTTTTGTTTCGGAGGAGGTCGATGATCTAAGGAATCCGACTGGCAGCACTGGGTACCCAAGCTGAGCAAAGAGCGCCCTGGCTGCCTCAGAGCTTGTTGGTCCAGACGAGCAAATCTGGCATCCAAGGGCGATCTGGAGAGCTGAGATCTCAGCTTTCGCATGCCCGCGGATGCACGGGAAGCGGAGCTTCATTTGACAGAGCCAGGTCTTGAAAGCGAGGCGGCCGGACAGTGCCAAATTCAAGGAGGTCATGCTCGCCTTGAGGACAGAATCCAGTACTTGTAGTAGCCCGTAGGCTGAGAGAGGACCGCAGGGGAGAGCAGTGCTGCGTGATGTCCTCTGCTCGATCAGGCGTGGTGATGTTCTGACCAGCTTAGAGGAATACGAAGATGCGCCGCTGTGTTGCATTGCCTGTCTCTCTCTCTCTCTCTCTCTGTCCCGTTTGTGTGGTTGGGACCGCTCGAATCTTCTCCCAGTTTTGTAGGCTCAGCCTTCTCTGCAGACGAAGAAAAACTGGCTGGCGAGATGCCGGACTCCAAAACTCACGTTCCAGAGATGTGCTTGGGTCGAATTCATTGCCCGCTGTCCGAGGCATCTATCATCTTGGCCTGCATGTGGCACAACGGCTTCATGCCAGACCATAGATTCTCGGATTGATTGAGAGGAGTGGTTTAAAGGCTGCCTAAAAGTCTCCTGCGAGCTCAAAAGCCTTCAACAGAAGTCTGCAGGGCCGAGGGCGTGTGAGCATGCAGGGGGTAAAGTCTCCGCGGGCTCACGCTCTTTCCTCCTCGGAACCATGTGCGAGATGTTGCTTAGCCCGAACTGCCCTTGAGTGTCGGAGTTGATGTTACCTTTGGGCTCAGACTTCTTTGTATGCCCATGAGGTCTAAGGTCGAAAGCGAGAAACCAACGGATGCCGAGCTGTGGATGTGTTCCCCTCGATTCGTTTCTCACTTCTTCGCCTGTTCTTTCCTTTCTCTGCCAATGCTCGGCTTTGTTTCCGTGTTGGCAAACCCTGCAGCAGTTCTAAATCGGTGCCCAACTCTCTTGCAGTTTCGGGTTAAGCATTCGTTTGGCTATGCGGAATGGTTTTGTGCGCACAGTATTGTCGGAGCCAGTTCCAACTGCTTGGAATCGAGACACAGTTCAGAACTGTTCGGAGCCGGATGATTCGGAACCGGAGCGGATCTGAAACCGCGGGCGGAACTGTTCGGCATTGGGCTGAATTGGGTGCATCACAGGCTCGCGAAATGGTTCCGTATTGTTCCAGAGATTCCAGAGCAGCTTCCGAACCGGCTCGGACTCGGATACGAACAGTTTCGAAGCGGTTCCGAACACTTTCTGACCTGTTTCGAAGCAGTGTCGCAAACGTTCGAACATTTCGAGCCGTTCCGACGTGAAGCAGAGTGACTTCGCAAACAGCTTTTAATCAGACCACGACGGGACGCAAGGGTTTCCACTTGCCCGCATGTCCAGGACACTATGCTTTGGCCTCCTGGCCGCATGTCCTTGGAGCTGCGCAGCTCAGTGAAGGCCAAGCGAGCAAACCCAACACCCAGGTCATGAGCGCCCTGTCGCAAACGAGGCATCCTTTACCTTGTTGCAGGCTTTTTTCGTGATATGGCATGCGGCACGAGGCGCTATGAGAAAACAACGAGGCTTTTCGAGGAAGGGATGATGGCATTCAGCCTTGCAAGGCTGCAAAGCACAGTAGGAAGAGATCGTCTGTTCAGCGAGGAGATGGCGGAGCACTACATCCCCCTGAGCCCCCAGTGCAGGAGACTCGGAGACGTCAGGGCAAATTCACAGATGACACCGAGCAGCCAGATCCGGCCCCGCCGCTCAGGCTATTATCTCGGCATCGAGGCATATAGCAAGCACTGCGCTCGATGCAGTCAATAGGAGTGCCACCTTCTCTCACCACAGAATACTCTAAGGAAGGAAGAGGTGGACGGTGCCCTGCAGCTCTTCAAGGAGTCGAGGGTCTTTGGTCATCAGCCTGTGCAGCGTGCTCCTGGGATGTGATGGCCTTTCGGAGGACATGCAGTCCGACGGCTACGAGCCAACGTCTCATCCTCAGTTGAACAGACATGAATAGCCAGGCAGGACGAAGGTTAGGATTGGGCAAGTAAGACGCGCGCTTGTACCTCTTGCTTGCTCAGCCAGCCTCGCTTGGAAGACAGAAACTGGCAAAAGCACCATCCGAGCTTGCACGGAGCTGGCTGTGTTCCCGTCCTGCGAACATACCGCTTCTGTCGCAGCCACGTTCTGTTCAGCCGCTGGCAAAGCTCTCAGGCTGGAGATCTACGCGACTCTGATGTACGAATTGGGGAAGGTTTGTGTACTTCGGAATTGATCTCAGCTGTGGACAACGGCTTCCTGCGCAGGCTGGATCATGGGTCAGATCGAGTGGCTCTTAGCGATGGCTGCAAAAGTTTCTGCAGCGGAACTGACCGAAGTCCTAGCGTTCGCTTGTGCTGATGCTCTGACAGCGCACTGTCTTGGGATACTGCCAATTCAAAAGGGGCTGCAAGTTTGAGGGCAAGGGCAAATTCGATCAGAGCTGATCGGGTGCTGGCGGTGTAGTGTTACTTACGCAATCTTGCACAGCTCAGGCTGGAGCTTTTTGAGGACATGCTCGCCCGCAGTATCTTGCCGACCAGACAGGTACTCTGTGCCCTGCCCGTTTTGTTGTCCATGTTCCGGGCCCGCAGATCTTCAACCTGCTGGTCTTGGCTTACGGTTTGCGCCCTGGTCCACGCTTTCTGCTGCTGCCGGCTGGCCTCAGACACGGCAGACACGTCTTCGCGCTGCGGAAGTCAGACAGGAAGCGGCGGCGAGTTTGAGCGTGTTCTGGAGACAATCGACTCTCGGCGTGAGGAAGTTTCCAGCATCTTCTTGAGTCTCTTGAGTGGTGGATGCTCGCAGAGACTTTGCGGATAAGGATCAAATGATCCAGGCTGGTGTGCTCGCCTCAGCCATAAGAGCACGACCACCAATATGATCTCAAAGGGCTTCGTCGCCATGGAAGGGTGCAAAGACAGGGGTGGTGCATGTTGAGGAGGCTATGCTTGAGGAAAACAACTGACGGCGGAAATCCGCTCGGGTCGAGTTCGAAGCCCCCGAAAGCTTCTGCGTAGACGACCAGCAGTGGAGCAATACTGTCCCAAAGGGGCAGAGGGTGGAAAAGTCGTAGGCTTGCCTCCAGGGATTGCACAGTTCTCGAGGGTTCAGAGATGGTCTCACCAGCATTCCCTGGCTGAGCTGGAGCCGAACCTGACGACTTTCCTTTGGGGGATGCAAGCCGCGGAGCGTCCGGAAGCTCAGTTCACATCATGGCAGCTATGACTTCATGGCTTTCTGGGGAGCAAAGGCGCCGGCGAAATGGACAAGGGTTTATACCTTTATCAGAGGATGAAAGATCGGGGCCTCAAGCCCGGCCCTCGGGTGTCGGGTGCTTTTCGCCATGTGGGCAACAGCATGTCGTGCCGTCGAGGTCTCACCCCAAGGTAGACCAGGAGCGATGTGCAAACCTTTTGAGCCCAGCTCACGCCGGCCCTGATTGCGCCAGGCTCTAATGCGCATTGCCATGGCAGGGGACGATCCCGTCCGGGGCACAGACCCAAACCGAAGCCGAAGCTTCCGCGACTCTGAGCGGCCGAGGATCGAGCGCTCCAGTTCTTTGAAGCCGCCATTCAGCGGAGGCCGCGGACGGCCACGGACTCCGGCATGTTCGGACCGGAGACTGGTCCTGAGGCGCAGCTACGACAAGAATGCTGTTGATGGGCCCGTTTGGCACCAAGTCGCATGTGAGATGCCCTGCGTCCAAAAATATTTCTTCAAGCGACTGAGATCTGGGAAGAGAAGGGCATCTACAAGCAAGCCTTGCGTGCGTGCCAACTAGCAGCGTCCGAAGCTTACGACTGGAAGCTTCAGCTGAGCCCCATGATTCCTGGAAGAACAGTACCCGTCAGGGCCTCCGGCACAACTCCAGGCTTCGGAATCAGCTCTTACGAGGACTTCACTGACCTCCTGCGCAGCATGTCCTCAATGTGAGCAATGCACCCGTGTTTCCAGGACTATGCCTTGCAGCTGCTCTTGGATCTGCATCTTGCCGGAATGGATGGCTGAGTGTTGAGATCAGGCGACGTGAGTATAGTCGTTGGCCGGCAGGCAGAAAGCCAAAATCAAGCTAGTCGCTTGCTCAGCAGAGGGAACACGCTTTGCATTCCTAGACAGATGTATTGTGGTCAGGATCCGAGCATGTACCTGCATGTCTGGGGCTGAGACCGCTCGAAATGTATATCTCACTTCGAAGCGTGGGCCCCGTGTCCAGGCGATTTCTACCTGTGAGTACAAGAAGAGCTGGACCAGGGTCTGGGGCCCTTGACCGTCTGCAAGAGCACGGTTTGCTAGGTGCAACAAATTCTATTCAGAGTGACTTGACGAGGTAATCGGCCTATTGCAGGAAATGTCAGAGAGGGGATTCCGGGTTCAGGGCGAAAGGCGGGCACTTCTGCAAATGCAAAGCGGGTCACCATGGCGCTGGACGATTCGTGCAGGCTCCGATCGGCCTATTGGAATGCGATCCTGGCCGCAGGGGATTCTCATGATCCTGACAAGGCAGTGACGCGACAAACCATGCTTTTCTTCATTCCGACGTGACTGGAGATGAAATGCTCTTGAGCTATATACGAGATGTCGCTGCCATCATGAAGGCATGGGACCTTTTCGAGCAGATGAAGCTCAGCAGAGTGACTGTGGACGGCTGTGATTGCAAGGATGGCTTTGCGCTCAGCTAGACTGGCCTACGTCTGCAGGAGCCTTTCATGTACGAGAAGATGGTGCTTCTGCTTGAGAAGAATGGTCAGCCCCATCCTTAGCCTTAGATGCTTCGCGTCCCCATTTGCCCGCCAGCGCACGGGAAGACAAGGATCAGAACACACTTGTTTGCGATGTTTGTGTGGGTCTTCGGTGTTGTGCCAGTGCTTCGCGTCGACCGCCTCGGCCCGGAAGCCGAAACCCAAAGGCCCCTGATACAGTAGGCCTGAAACCGAAACTCTAAATCCCAAACCTTAAAGCTTAACCCTTAAACCCTGAACCCTAAGCCCGCAGCGTATTTTCGAGAAAGCGCAGCCCCTGATGCAAGGGTGAAGCTCGCATGCCATGGCATGGCGCAAGCCCAAATTTTGGAAGAAGCGACACTTCACCGGATGAGCGGGGGGTCAAGCAGCCCTGTTTGGAGAGGGGGGTTACTGGGGAGGGGATTACGAGGTGGGGAATAGAGGGAATTTGTACAGGAACCTCTGACCGCTTCGGCCGGGGGCGAGGCGAATTTGAGGATGAGTGCTGGCGTTGAGCTGCCCAGCCTTTCAGCCGCCCTCACCGGCGGACAGACGTGCCTGCCAGACGCGGAAGAGAATCATCAGCATCAGCTGCTCAGTCTTTTCACGGCCGCATTGACGGACTTTGCACCACGGACTCGCCTCGGTCGTCTATCACATTCAATCGCCAGCCAAGACTCGGCAGCTTTGTCCGCTGGCCCTAAACCTTGCAAACAATTCGGCACTTGGCCGATGTCCAACTTGCGAGCTTGACCAAGCTCGCCATAAAGGGTTATCGGAACTTATTTGTCTTCGTCCTTGTTGTTACTATGACTGCTATCAGAATCTGGCGATCCAGATATGTGCCATGACCATGATCATGTGGGTGCATGTGGTTCCCACCGCTGATTGCTCAAATGAATTGGTGATGACGATGCTGCCGGCTATGGATGTGTGGTGGAGGTTGTGACTAACTCGTTATGAGTTTCAGTTTGCCGTACTGACAGTATCATGGCCATTATTTCTGTTATTGCTTGTTTAGTCTTGTGTTCATTTCCTGGTCAATTCAGCCCTTTGCGTTTGCTCAGGTTGGCGCGGGCTGCCCGGTTAGATGAAGAGTTCCAGAACCGCCAGCTCACAAAGTACGCCCAGGACAAGCTTCTTTTGAACAGTCACTAGCAGCTGCAGGCATTATCGCTCAGAGTCTTCTTAGAAGCAGAACAAAAATGCTGATCTTGCTTGTCGGAGCAGAGTTAAAACAACGCAACATCGGCTCTAAATGCAAGAAGCCATCAGTGTTCAGTAACGTGTTTCAATGTCTTCTCAGGAGATCATGGTGCACAGGAAGCGCAACGAGTGGGAAGAGGTGGCCTGTCATTGCAGCTTGGTTGTTGTTCGCTTGCGGATGTTGTCCCGGGCGAACAGAACCGCTGCTACTCGGTGATGTAGGCTATGGGCATCGTTCAGAAGATCCGAGATGATGGCATCAGGCTAGATCTAGATTGCAAGTGCACCAGCATGGCTATGAGAATGCGCTTGAACAGCAGCAAGACTTGACCTGCAATGATAGGCCGACGATCAAAATCATGAACACAGCTCTCAGCTCCTTGCAGTATCCTGGGCCAGCTGCCCAGATTTGCTGGTTTTGTGTCACTCCTGCCTGGGTCAGAGTTGCGGAGTACAGTAGAGATGGCATCTGAGGAAGTGGGAGCTGGTCCTGGAAATCATGGAACAGATGCGAGCAGATGGGTGGGAGCTGTCGGAGGTACTTTAGCAGCTTCGCCTGTCCTCGAGAGCACGGCGCCAGGTACGAGTTGGATGTCTGCACTCACACAGTTGCCGTTACGTCCATGATCACGGCTGGTGAGCTGGAGTGGCTTGGCACATCTTCGCCGACAAGAGCGCTGGCTGCCAGCAGAAGACTGTTGCATTCTGCTGTACATCAGGAAGGCTTCAGAGCACTTGCAAGTCATGAAGAAGGAAGGTGGGGAGCATCAGTGTGAAGTTGAGCACGCGGAAGGTTCCCGTTCGGCTGCAGGTGTTGAGCCCACAGCGATGACCTACGGCCGCCTGATGTATGGCTTGGAGGCGTGCATGGAGTCCCCGACGAGAAAGCTGTCGCGAATTCTTTTCGCGCCAGAAAGCCGACCAGCCACAGAAAGCCCTGCGGTGGCCTCAGAATGGGACGGGACATAAATGGCGTGTTTTGAGGCACTGAAGTCCCAAGAGACGATGGGGTTTCAAGACTCGAAAGGGCTTCTGCGAGGACCAACCCCAAACTACTTGGGCAGCCCGGATCCTTAAGACGAACGAACAGGTGTGCACCAGAATGCCCGAAATGGCAACCTGGCAAGTCCGACTAGATACGCGCCAGAGTGCCGGAAACATGGCCAGCATGCTAAGAGCTGCCACAGCTGCTGGAGTCTAGAGCTGCCAGCGTCGGGCACATTTTGATATCGACACGCCGAGATTGTCCGAGCGTGGTCGCATTTCGGCAGCATAGCATGAGAGAATCGGTCTCAGTACGTGGCAACGAAGGTTCTGGAGCAGTCGTAGACTTCTATGGACTGCAGCAGGAAAAGAGTCGTCGGCTCTGGCCCTACGTGATCAGTTTGCTTTCCCGACCTCTGTCATCCAGATCGGTTCTCTCGTTTACTGGATCCAAGCACGCTGCCTCTGCCATTGCTGTCTGCCATTCTCCCGATCGCTTCTCCGTCTTCTCCTTCTTGAGCTTGCTGATGGCCTGCGTGGTCTTGTGGTGCCTAAAAGGTATCTCTGGGATGAGATGCGCGTCCAGGGCATCGACCCCGACAGGCGACATCCGAGACTTTCTCGATCACATGAAGCTCGGAAGCCGTGCAGGGTGGGATTCGAGACTGCCGTAAGGGCCTGCAGCAAGTGCCAGATCCTTACCTGACTTCATCTTGCCCTCCTGAGTTGAGTGGTCCGTTTCATCGGCCAGGTCAATTTGATGAAGCGGTCCTCGAGCTGTATGATGAGATGAAGGTGGATTTGGCCTCAAGCAAACATCGAGGGCACAACGTTTCGCGTGCAGAGGTTCGTGACAAGAACCCTTCCAGAGAGACCGCGCGTAGCGCCGCACTGGCTGCCGAGCGGCTGGGCCTTTCGGCGACTGTGATCGAAGGCCATCTGCTTCTGCATGAGAAGTGCCATCTGTACACAATGTGCACTGCGTGCGGTTCTTCCCTTGTGCATTGACTTTGTGCAAGGAGCGACGCCGATCACGCCAGAGGACGCTCTGCGTGGTGAGGTGTGTAGGAAGGCCGAGCTTCCAGCAAAGGAGCCAGAGGACGTCGAAGTTCTCGATGCTTTGGGCCGATGAACGGCTCTCGTCTGCTTCGGACTCCTGATCTTCATCCTCGAGCCGAGCATGCTCACATGCTCCCAGCTGGTGCCAAGCCGGTGCCAAGGCGAAGGAGTGCCAAGGGGGTGTGCTGCCCCATCGTGTCACTTTCCGTAGTACCGCGTCCTCCCGTATCCCCAATCCCAACCTCAGTGTCTTTCACCCTCCGGAAGTTGCCTCTGGCCTGCGGATGTTAGCAGACCTGGGCTTCGGCGAAAAGCGCAGAATTGAAGTGCGCAGCGCCAGGTGCATCTCTCCCCAGCCACATGTCTTCATGTCCAAGCAGCTCAGCGACGCTTCAGCATTTCAGAGGCTTTCAGATCACGGTAGGTTTTGAGATGACGCTGCAGATCGAGGCCCAAGGACGCACAAGAAAGCAGCCACGTGAGATGCCAACACGGCTCACCTCACTCCAGCCAGACCCATGGAGCAAGCACGATCACATGCAGCCACTTCACTCTGGAGCACCTGTTACAGCGACATGTGATTGGCGGAAGGGCGACGGCACTGTAAGGCCGAAGCCAGTAGATCCGTTGCAGAGCCTTGAGAATTGACGCTTTTTGCTCTCCGTAAGAGCTTCGCAGGCATGGGCGGCGCGGAGTCGGTGGAGCAGAAAGAGGAGGAGGATGCGGAGGCTGAGCCCGCAGAGGAGCCCGGCATCGACCCCGAAGATGTCGCTGCCTCCTCAGGTCTCGGAAGACCAGTAGTCAGTAGATGTCAGTAGTCAGTAGTCCTGTTATTCTCGCTGAAAGCCTGAGCGATGCAAGTTTGGGTCGGGTGGGCATTCTTCCCCGGAGTGTCCGGGTTCACAGCGGTGAAGCACTGGCAACGACCATGTTCCCGGTCTTGTCACAGACGAAATCTCAGATTCATGATGCCGGTTCATGCTTGGGATCCTTTCTCCAAGAAACTCCTAGACTTGGCCGTCTCGTGCGTGTTTCTCGCTGTGGGGTTTGCTTAGGATTTGCTTCTCTCAGCTCATAGGTGACTCAGGACTTCAGACGCTGCAACTGTCTTTTTTCTGCGGCCCTTGAGGCCAAGATGACTTACAGCGAATTCAACGCTGCGGTTGCCGCTGCCTGCAGAGAAAATGCCGTGGTCTTGGGCAGTTCGAAGCATTGCAGGATGCAGTCACGTTGCAAACGGCTCCTGCAGAGGAGATCAAGAAGTTTCGAGAGCTGTGGGAGTTTATCAGCACGGTGCGCAGTGAAAATCATCCCACCTTCGACTCTCGGACGCAAGCCGAGCGATGCAAAATGCGTGATGCGTCCCACCTCGGCCGAGGATGACAACTTAGTCATGGAGAACTGCATAAAGCACCTCAAACACGAAGCTTGACTGCACTTGCATGTATTTCAATGCTCGACATCCTCTGCTTGCCGCAGTGGATGGCCCTGGTTCTGCCCTGGTTTCCCAGGCCTTCCGTCACTCGGTGACGCCTTGGCGGGAGTTGGGGGCCAGCACCTCGGATTCCGAGCTGCTAGCTGCTTGTACGTGCTTGTTGAAGATCTTCGGAAGGTTCGGGTCAGTCGCACCTTCTTCCACAACAAACAGGCGCGCCTACGCCTTGTTGCCGAGCCCCTGTGGGGCCCTGGCCCTGGCCCGGCCCGGCCTGAGGGGGCTCCCTGTGAGGCTCGCGAGAAGCTTGTCCAGCTTGACTTCGTAGGCCCAGAGAGCTGCCCCCGACGTTTCCTTCGGGCTTGTTTGTGTTTAGATGCGTGCTGCAGGGGGTTGGGCTCTCTTTCAGAGTTATGGGCAGGCTCCATGATGCTCCTCACGATGCCCAAAGAAGGCGACTGGAAGCTTGTGTTTGTGTATTGTCCCGAAGAGCCGCCTCTGCAAGACCCGAGGCAGCACTAGAGTTCACTAGAGTTGAAGTTGCACTGGCTGAGCGGTCAGGCGCAGAGGATCTGGAGGAGGAAGAACAGGACCAGACACCAGGCAAAGGACACTTGGTCAAGGCGAATCTCAGCGCTTTGGAAGAGAGACAGGTCTTCAAGAGGGCGATAGCGCAGAGGACGGGGCAGCAGGGAACGACATGATTCCCATGCCCGAAATCTGATGATTCTGTGTCCATTGAAGTGTTCGGCGCCGATGTTCCTGTCAGCCTCATGCAGTGACACAAGCAGGAACACCGTTTTCAGCTCCTCGCTGCTGCGGTGGTCTCAGTTTCTTGCACGAGGTGACTTGAATTAACTCACCTATGCCCACAATCTCTGACCTTGCCGGTTTCTCTGCTGAGTTTTGTCCGTTTCTCGGAAGAGATCTCGGCCCCCCTCCCCCGGTGCCCGCGTCGTCGAAAGAGCGCAGCTTGTTCGCTCCTTTCTTGGGGCAGGCAGGATGGGTGGAGCCAAAGCGCTATGAACGGCCGGTCGTTTCTGCAGAAGCCTCTACTCGTGAAGATTTTTCCGGTACTCTCATGCCGATCGAATCTTACGCCATTGAATGCCGTCAAGAAGTGCTCTCGATTTCGGCAATTCTTGCGACTCCACACTTGCACTCGGTGTTGCTCAACGTGCTACGGGCCGGGAATCTGTCTAGTTTGGTTGCGGGGAGCAGTGCTTGAAGCTCCTGAAGCATCCGGAGGCATCTGTGATACCAAGCGGACTAACTTTCCTCAGTTCCGAGTCCAAGCATGTCCTGAGTTTCGTGCTTCGCAAAGGAGACAATCCTGGAGATGGCAGACTATCAGGAGCCACGACCACAGTCGACCAACTGCCCATGTTTGCAGTCCGCAGTATCCATCGTGTCATGTGAAACGTACCGAGTACTCAATGGACTGTGCAGATATCAAGCTGCAGACAGCCAGCATCTGCCAGCGGACTAGTTGCCACAAGCGCGCTTCGTTAGCATTCTCGAGCACGCGGTCCTCCTTCACATGCGTGTCACTGACGCTGGGCCGATCGAGGTTCATGCCCTCTTTGTGTTCCACGAGCGTCTTGAATTTTCTCTGCATTGCCCTGAATCAGGCGGTTTGCTGTTAGCATCGCCGTGACTCCTACTTTACCTGCAGGGCTTGGTCGCTAGGATGTAATTTGCCTGCAGGTTCCTGCGGCTGTTGAAATCGCTACACACACCTTTGCAGCTTGGACCAACTTATCCACGGACCCATCCTCCAGATCTTGTTGCCTTAAGGCTTGTGTGTCTCGCTCATGTGCCCAAGTCGTTGCAAGGTGAAAATCTCAGCAGATCCGCAGAATCTGCCAGTTTTCCTGAGCGGCAACCCTGCTGCATCAAAGCGCTGTACACAGCTCCAAGTGGCACAGCAGCACCTGCCAGATCTGTATCTCTTCGAGGTTCCGTCGGTGACATTCTGGAGTCGTTTTTCAAATCGACGAACTACTTGCGCCCGAGTGATGGCAGCAGCGTTGCACGGATGGGGCAATGGGCCGATTCCTCAAGCTGGGCATGTCCACAGGGTTGCAAACTTGTCCCGGTTGCAGATGTCCGATCGTAAAGACCTGGAGCATGTGTGCTTCAGGCCCGAGACATCTCTGCTATGGCTCACTGTGCCCACACCATGGGCACGTGGACCCCGCCAGTTGACCAACTGTCGAGAGACCTAGCACTGCCGTCCTGCATGTTTAGTCTGACTGCTAGTACCACTACAAGACCGCGGCAGCTACCGGAATGCTTTCAGGTCAGTACCAATGGCAATGATCCTTTGCCTTCTGAACCTGCCAGGATGATCAAGTACGACCACGCCTGCCAGGTGGATCTTCGGACCATCGGCGCCATTTTTGCGAGCATGTCGGATTCCCAAGAACATTGGAGAGGGGTTGATGAAGGGGTTGATGACAAGCCATGCAGATCGCAGTGGTGATTGAGGTCCGACAACCTTCGCCTGGTGTCAGAGCTTGCGCGCCTGTTTTATTGGATCTGCCGCAAGTCTCCCGTCACTGAGCCGCAGTGTGGCATCTTCCAACCCTCCATTCAGGGGCCTGGCGTCTTGGTGTCTCAGGACCTTTTTGAGACTTTGATGGAGGCAGCTCCTGGTGTGGGAGGAGCGGAAGGCTCGCAGCTCAACATGGATGCATTGCCGACCTGCCAGCATGTGTGGCCGAGTGCCAAGGCCTTGATACCTTGTTGTTTTCGTTGGTGGCTACCTGGAAGCAGTCTGTCGATCTGTGACTGCCTAAGTTTTCTGATGTTGTGTCGCGGTGGCCTCAGCCCCACAAGTTCCCTTGAGCCTCGAGGCACCAGCGTCTCAAGGCAGCTGCCCGCAGCGAGAGTGGCACCGGTCAGACCCTCGAGCGATGCTTTTGCTACCCGTCGGGCGCCTGTGCGAGAGTTCGAATCGTTTCAGCAAGAGCGAGGTCTGGAGGATTTTCTTGTAGATGATCTAGACGCTTGGCGGCAGCGGGGTCTGTTCAATCCATGTGTGTCAGCAGCATCAAGAACACTCACTAGCTCATAAGCCAAGACGACGCTAGTGTTCAACTGGAGAAGAGTCTCCATGCCGGAAAGCAATGAACCACTTCCAGGTTGAAGGATCCATAAGCCGCGAGTTTCTGATCTGTCCTTGCTGCTGGTTGGATCTTGTTGCCGTGAGACCGCACTCTGCTTCTCTGTTCGCCTCCCGTTTCCCTGCAGTTTGCAGCACTCTGTGTCATACTGCTTGAGTGGCCGAGGACAAGTCTTTTCCCATTGAGCGCAGCCCCCAGTAGAAGGGCAGCTAAGAGGCAGCCGACACCTCTCAGTTGCTCAGCTTCCGATGCTGTCTTTGCTATGGCTAGATGCGACCAGGTATGGTTCGGAAGACTTCACCCACAAAGTTGAGTATGCCGAGCTCGGATCTCGAGCCACTCATGGGTCTCAGTCGAAGCTCCCGAGTTCCTGAGACTCCGAGGATGAGGCTCTGCTACATGAACTGCCTGCTCTGGGTGCGGCCCCGAAGCGTTTGAGTCCGAGACCTTGGGCCCAAAGAAGTCCTGACCCGCTTCCGGTTGCAGGTCCTGCTTCCGCAATGGAATCTGCGT